GGCGTAGTTATGCTCAATGCCAGCTCGAGATTCGCAAGCTGCAGGTCGTCGGCTGGTGGCATCATCCAAGGGCATACAACAAAATGGCAGATCGCGCAGCAAACATCGCAACTGATTCATGTCGATCCCAACAATGCGAAGCAAGCACCTCTCACCCAAACTGGTAGGCCTACAATACTGACTCCAAGAGTTCGGTTGCAGGGTCTCAGCTGTCTTGGATACAGCACCGTTCTAGAGAAGCTAGAACTCGGGACTTCCTCCGAAACCCAGCCGGCGAGCCGCTTTGGGCGGTTGAACGCCGGCTCCCTCCAAGTCGAAACGCGTAAAAACGTAATGTAGCTAGGAGAAAGGATATCGTCGTTCATCAACATGTAACACAATATACCTGACTTTCATCATCATCAACTTTCTAAAGGACCCTAAAATCCGCGAGGAGACAGAAATTGTATTTCTCACATCTGGAACACAATTATCAACGATATTCACAAGTTTGTTGGCGCAAACAAAAGGCAACTCTCTTGATGACTAGGAACATATCGAGCTACACCGATCGAACCGATCGAACCAATCCCTGCCACCATCGACAAATATATTAACAATCTCATGGATTATTTATGACGTAATGAGAAGATTTGCGTGCTATCGAATCGCTTGCACACATTGAAAAATCCTAATCTTGTTTCGTTTCACGAGCATAATTCCATGTATTCTAACCTAAGATTATGCGTTCCTTGGCTTCAATTCGCTGCTTTACTCGTTTCAACTACGTTGAGCACGAGGGGAATAGCTTAAAATGTATTATGCCACTTTTTCAAGAAATGGTGAGTCTCAAAGAAAGTGGGTTTGCTGAGAGTCAATTAAATCTCATTCAGTTGAATTTAAACAAAAATCAACGAAAATTAACCCTGAGTCTGAACAATTTGCAGAATCAGTTTTGTTGTATCTCCATGACGATCAAATCTGTTTTCTTAAAGCTGCATTACAATCTGAAGACAATGCGAAATTGGTCGGTAAGTTGAAGAATCATGCCGCTGCATTTAAGGAAGAATTAGATGATGAGAAAATGGTGAAAACGATTGAGGCGCTGCTGAGCGACGAAAATCTCGCTGAAACGCTTCAAATTGTGCTCGAAGATAAGTACCTAGTGTGGATACTCAAAGAAAGTTTAAAGCTTAACGATCCGCTGTATCCTAAATCGCGTTTTTTTAAAGGTCATGTAACGCTGAAGCCTAGTAAAGTTGATTTTTTTAATTCGCTCCAAATGTTGGTGAAGGATAATGAAAAATCGCAGCTGATCAAAGCGTCTTTGGAGGATGATGTCGATCTTAAGCTTTGGAAAAGCTTTCGAGGCAGCAAGACGTTGAAATTGGTTGAAGACATGTTGGGCAGGACACAATTGGATACGGTACAGTCGCTCAAGCGATTCTCGACGATCAGGAGAAAGTGCGATTGCTTAGAGAAGCTGTAAGTGATGAAGATCATTCGGAAAATTTAGCTTGGTTTTGGACGACAAGAAAAGGTTTTCAAAACACAAGAACGAACTAGCTGATGAAGAATGGATGGGGAAGTTCGACGCGTTATTAGAGGATATGAATCTAGTGTTTTTCCTCGGAGTGGCCATTAAGGATGATGGTCGTGCGAAGTTATTCCGAGCGGCTTTGAGGAAAAAGACAGGTGAAGGTTTATGAGGATGTATTGAACAAAAAGGAATCGGTGAATGTGCTCAGATCGATACTTAAGGAAGAAAAGCAGTTGAAGTGGCTTGAAGAGGCTGTTTTGGAAGGTTATGGTGGTAACGTTAAAGTTGCTTTGGAAATAAGGGACGGAAAGATGCTGGTTGAAAAGATAGTGAAGTACCTCGAGCAATTTCTTAAGGATGAAAGCCAACGTGACAAAACCTCCGTCTCGATGTCTGATCGACTCTGGTCTTTTTATTGACATGATGGGAAACGACACCCCTTTTTAGGAGTCGTGTAAGCCATGTCAAGCACGAGCTGTCGGGTTTTATTTATTACACTCTAGCCCCTGGTTTTTTATTGACCATTTCACGCTGCCAATGTTTACAAAAACTCTTTATTACTGGTAGTATTTAATTTAATATAAGTGTGCTTTTCAAACTGCGTTCAAATTGCTTTGACAGGAAGTAGAACTCATCAATTGAATGCTTCTTTTGGCTCATAAAATATCTCGCGAGCAACTCGAAAGAGTACAGATCAGGGGTCATTTTCTATCGACGAATTTGATAGTAAAAGGACGTAAGGCGACATGCTAGTATAACTCTCCGTGGACGAACTAACCTTTCTTTTTGTCAAGACTACTAAATGCTTAGTAAAACAGCACGCCATTCTGAGGCAATTAAATGTAATGGGGTATGTTGTGCTTTTAACCACGATACATTATGTACAGTTAAGTGTATGAGATGCACGAAATTTACATACAAATATTCATTAGTACCGATATATAGTTAAATATGAAGATGATGATCTCATGGAGTCTATGCAAGTAAGTTTTGCTATTTCGACATTTCTGAACTTTATATTCTGCTATCGTCAATGAAATGACTGTCACTATTTTCGAATGTGCGGCTAGCTATCGGCCTGTACCACTGACATTTCCTTTGCACTGTACCATTGTCTTCATAGATACCGACATTAGGTACTTATGAATATTCACAATTACACCAAAGTGAAACGTACGAATCATAACAGATTGCATTAAATACAAAATATATTGAATTTGCTAAGTCCGCAATGTTATG